CTAACGCAGGGGCTCGGCCTGCCCCCTTCAAGTGGGCAACTTTCACTCCAAGGTCATTTTTTTTTTTCTCTTCCGCTCTGATAGTAAAGAGGTTATTTACAGCGACAGCGTTACTTGCTGGACTATAACACGTACAGCTAATGTTCTCCGGTAACCAATTATTAGCTTTTACTTTCTTCTCTGCTAAAAGCTGGAGGAAACTAGCAGCGCCACAGAGCTTGCTCGCTCATCGCTTGTCGAGACTGCTTTCTTCTGTAATGCTTTGTTTTCTTTTAAATTAAATCAGCTCAAGACCTGTTGGCCTGAAGTACAACTAATGCATTTCAAAGGTAGCGTAGTTTCCCCATCAGCACCAACCTGAGAAGACTGCTCATGAGTGAACAGGCACTTTTATTGCTAAAAACATAATTTTTTTTCCAAAGAAAGCTAACGTCCTGGCTGCAGAGTTTCTTTCCCCGCCTCCCAATTTTGCACGTTTCTGTAGAACACCTAACAGCCCGTTCTGATTTTTCCCCTTTGGTTTTGCCGTGCTCTCCGTTCCCAGCTCCGTCACCGCTCTGCTCTTGGGCACCTGGCCACAGGCGATGAGTTAATTCCCTGACGGTGCGGCCAAGAGCATGCACTTACCCCAGAGTCTCTCTTAAGGTTACAAAGCTTTCTTTCTATCTCTTATTTATTTTTCCTGTTTAATTCCAGGTTAGTGAAGCTCTTTTGCTGTTCCAAGCAGCAACACAGCCTCCTCCTTCCTTGAGTCTGAATTCAAGCCGTGCTTTTCACAAGGGGGGGAAAAAGAGTTTTAACTGCACGGCTGGATTTGTAAAAATGAGCAAGCTTTGATTTTGGGAAAAATCCGGATTTTTACTTAAAGCCATGATAAAGAGCAATTTAAATTCAGCCCCTTAGAATACACGTCTCTGAAAAGCCTGCGCCCTCCCCTGTAACACCTCTCGCTGGTTTTTCCACCCCGGGTGTCTGCAGTCGTACTATCAGTTTCACAGTTTCCTGCAGTTCCTATGCAGTAAATTCATGCTGTTTGGCTGGGTTGTTTTGGGGTTTTTTTTGTCATAAGAAAACACAAAAAGGAAGGGGCGGGGGGGGACGACGATGGGGGGAAGAACACTTTTAAAAATAGGAAAATGTTTGCAGCGTTACAATCGCTTTGGCGGTGGCTCGGGACAAAGGCAGCGCTGAAACCACTCTGAAAGCCTGCCGAAATTCAATCGGCAATCCTTCCTTTGGTGTTCGTGTGAAAATAGGAGAACATACATTGGTAGCAATTTGCACTGAGTCTTTTGCTCTGTCGAGAAAACTATAAAAGCAATGCACCTCACCCGTTATTGTGAACGATGCCGCAGAAGTCTGCTTCGATAAAGAAAGTGTTGCAAGCTCGCTGTTGCAAGTTAAAGGTCTTAAAGTTAAATGTCTTAAAGGCAGGGCAGGTGGAGTCACCTAATTGCATGAGAAATTCTGCTTTCGCTTGCAGCGCGGTGCTTGTTGGCGCGGGGAGAAGATGTGACGTTAATTGGCAGGTTAACTAGAGATTGCAGACTGGAAGTCAAGGATTGTTTGTGCTTAAAAAATAAAAATCTTACTGGCTTTGAAATAAAACCACCAGAGCAAAATGCCCCATGATCCAAAAATTCCTCTTGGACCTGGCTTTAAGTGCCGGGTCGGTAACAGGGGAGAAGCTCAGCACGCAGCACCAGTAACGGGGCTTGGTGTCACTGGGAGCGGTGGTCCAGCAGACCTGGCGCCAGCCTTTTCCCCTGCGCTGGATGGTACTGCACGGTAACGTGGAGTTTGTACCCAGCAGCTGGGTTTTGATCTGAATTCTCTTTGAAATTGCCCTTGCAGGGTCTCTCCCCGCAGCTCACAGGAGGCGTTGCTCAACAGACCCAAACAACCAACTTTTTTTTTTCGACTCCGAGTTTGTCCAGTTTCAGATCTGCAGCTTTATTATTAGCAACCCCTTTTGCGTGTGGTTTGCCCATCACCTGCTTGACACCTGTAGAGAAAACCAATTTCTTCCTGTGCTGCTGTATGACGAGAGGCTCGACCGACGGCCCATCCACGCGGCAGTGACGCCCATGGGACCCTTTCGGTTGCCCGTACTACATTTTTTTTTTTTAGTTTGGTCACCTTAAAGGGCTATTACAATAAATTGCCTCTCCCATTCTTCATTGGTCTGTTCTTCATATAGGAAAATCAGAGCGGAAATGCCTCTGAAGGAAGCTCGTACCCAACAGCAGAGACAGGAGGTGTGTGCGTATGGAGAACACGGGCACGGTAGGACTGCGTGTGGCAACCGCGGCAAACGACGACGAGGCGGAGAACGAGGAGAGGGAGATGGTAATTAGCAAATAAATTAGAAAGTCTGTAAGGCTGTTATCTGTCCCTTTAGATATGTCATCAGGGGACGCAGGTCACTGGGTGGAAGGGGGAGGGGATGTGTATCTCTGAAAGGTGGTAACCGAGCTGTGATACCTCCACTTATCGTCGCTGATGTGATGGGAACGTGTTATGTTTCCAGCTCGACAGAAAGTTTAGAGAACTGTAAAAAGGAAATTGCAGCTAGAAAAGAGCTGCTGAATCTCTCGGAGGAGGCCAGCCTTGGGTAGCAGAGCTGGTCCATGTCCCCGTCACCGGGCACCACTAAAAGCCCTGCGCTCTCCTCGGGTTTGGTCCTTTCCTGCGAACGCGTAAACCAGAGCTCCCCCTCTAACCTTGCTGATTATTGCTGCCTCTGCTTAGGTTTCACTTAACTCACCTTCCAAAACAGAGAGATGTTCTGCTGCTGAGAGCCCACGTCCTGCTGGCGGTACCAGACGTCCAGGAGCCCGGTCGGCGCTGGTGTGGAAGGAAAAGGTGAGCGGCGTTAATGGCTGCGTTTTGAAGCAAACAAACAAGACGCTGAGTAGGCGGAGGAGGTAAAAACCCTGAAACAATTAAACGTTAAGATTTAAAATGTCCCTGAAACGATGCAATAAGTAATAGCCCATATCTGCTCTTGCAGCTGGAGTCCAGCTGCGTTGAGGATGGTACTCATGCAGATAACAAGCCATAAACCCAAGAGAGGGTTTTCCTCTGCCGGTGACTTTGTCTTGCACTCAGTAATCAGGATGGCTCCCAAGGAAGCCTGCACATCAAAGTGACAGCACTAGCTCTCATCTTTACAGAAAAGTCAAGGCTAGTTAAGGACCTTGGGGTTGGCTGTGTCGATCCTAAAACAAGGGACAGCCTCAGGTGACTGGGTTGGTAGGATCTGTAGGATTTCCCCGCCTGGCTCTAGGCGATGAATGTCTTTAACAGTTAGCTGGGGAGGACCTCGTCGGAGGTAGCTTAACATCCCCGTTCTTTCCCCGATGCTCCTTACAGTCACAGAGTGACTGGGAACCCTCCGTGTTTTGAATCGATCTTCCCAAAATAACGCTTCCCAAACTTCTGGCTCCAGAAACCGGTGAACGATGTGCTCCGCCAGTTCAGAATCGGAGACACGTAAAGAAAACCAATGTGACAAAAGGTGACAAAGCTTGGTTCCTCAAGGTCTCTGACCAAAATGAACCCATCAAATTCAAACAGTAATCGTTGCAGCAGGCAGCTGTTGCACAACCCCAGTTAGACTGGGGCTGCCTGCTATTTTCTATATTCAAAGACAGAAAAAATCCTCGGTGCCAGCATGTTACGAGCTATTTGTCCTGTATTAACTGCAAATAGTGACTGGAATAGAAACAAGAAGCAGGACTGACAGAAGAAATAAAACCAGAGCACACTCACTGCGAGCGAGGGAGGAAGGGGCAAGCTCAAAGCAAGAAAAAATAAAATATGGGGTTGCATCTGTTGGACTCCAGCCTGGAAAAAAACATATGCTCGCTTATGAACAGTGCTTGCATAAAGCAAGTTTTGTGGCAGGTCAGGCTTAGAGAAACAAGAAAAAAACCCCATCTCATTGAAAAGGTATACTTCTGAATTTGCAAAAGGCCAAACTCCTGTAGAACTTCAGCTCCTTCAAAGGGCAACCGTGATGTACCCAGAGCTGCTCGTCTGCAGCCTCCCCTTGCCGTCACCTAGTCTGAGGTCAGAAAACGCTCCATGATTAGCTGAAAAGACTCGTTTTATAGGATCGGCTATGACCACAAACGCCATAGCAAGCCAGGGTGCATCAAGAAGCTTGAGAAAACTTGAGAGGAAGGTGGGGGAAGGAAGGAAAAGTTCACACCTTTTGCATCAATCAATGCTTCTTACAGAAACTGATGCTGTCAGTAGTGGTAAATAGCATGAGTAATAACAGCACTAGCCTGAAGAGCTTATAGTAATTCACAAAAAAAAGAGCAACGAAAGCCAAGTAAGAGATGAAAGCGAGGGGATGCCAAAGCAGCTGACACATCTTTGTTGAAACACACGCTTCTGAGAAGCTTTCTTCTCTCGTAAGAACTGAAAGTTCTGCAGCATGTGAGTTCGTGCGGCTCAGGGTGAAGGCAGGCAGAGATGTGACCCCGCGGCAGCCAACGTGGACGATGGCAGAAGCAGATAGGCTTGCCCTCGGGTTGGTGCCGTGTGTCCCGCTGTGCCGTCCCCTGGGGCAGAAACGCGCCTTGCCTAATTCACGGCGGGATCTCTCCCGAACGCCTGGCCGCGTTCCGCCCTGCTGAAGCTACCCAGGTCTCTGGCAGCTCCGCGGTGGGGTGGAGGTGGCCACCTGGGCAGGCTCCAACTGAAAGAGCTTCTCTGCTTCAGAAAAGATGACTTGGCAAAATTAAACTGTGTGTTAAAACCTGCCGGCGTCAGCAGAACTGAGAGGGTCCGGGCGGTTTCCTGGCCAATTCACCCAACTTCTCAGCAAACTGTTGGGCGAGCTCCAGGACCCAGAGCGTGCTGCCCGAGCTGTGGTTCATCAGCACCCGAGGGTGACCGGGCAGCCACCCCGACCCGAGTACGGGGTTGTTGAAGGAGCTCAGTAAAATGCTTAGGTAGGAACCAGTACAGAATATTTTTCTTTCCCCAGCTGAGCTGCACAAATTTCTCTGCCTTCTCCAGACGTCTCACAACGCAGCAGCCCACTACGGCTCTTCCAACCTTCAACGGCATCCAGTGAATACATCCTTCGGGCCTTCTCAGTCAACTCTTGAAATTCCTGTTTTGCAAGGAGCTTGAACAGCTTCATTTTTTGTTCATTAAAGGAAAAAAAAAAAAAAAAAGCAATTCTCTTACAGAAGTTCCTTCCCTGTTGGCTCTGCATCTGGATCTATAGAGACTCTGCAAACCAACCAGCAAAAACCCAATGGCGTTTTGACTTCGTTAGCTAAAGTTTCCACTCGTATGCAAACGTTGGACCCAGGCTCGTTGGCAGAAATACCATCTTGTGTTACCTGCTTCCGGCGTCCAGGTTCGGTACGTGCGCCAGTTGCTCCACAGTCCTCGCTCGGGGTGAATTTTACAGCTGACCTGAAACTCGTAGGCTGTATGAGGCTCCAGACCATAAAGACTGCATTTCTCGCTATTTAAGCTTTCAACCTTTAACGAAGATAAAGGGTGTGTAACGTTAAACTCACAAGGAAATAAAGGTCGAAGGCAGTGACAGGCTGAATTACTAGTGCCCAAAGGAAGCCCAGCCAGCCAAAACACATCTTTTTTAAAAAAAACAATGGGCAAACCCTGATCTGAGGCAGCTTTAATAACTCAAAGAACGGTGTAATGGATCATCAGGCTTGCAGTTCTTCGTCAGAAAAAAACCCTCATTTAATTATGTGAAGATAACAAATTTTCTGTTCACGTGCTTTACTCAACTTCAAGCAATACGTTTATTTTACCACCTAAAATAAAAGCAAAGGTTTCCAATCGACGTTAGGGAAGGCACAAATATTTGGAAATTTCACGCCTGTAGCTGTGAGCTACAATGAGCAGGTGTGACCGTATTCCAATTAACGGTGGGTCAAACATACGCTCCGATTCTTCAGTGCATTGTACAGACACTGGCATAAAGGGAAATATTCATGGATGCAGGTGCTTTTTTTTTTTTTTTTTTAATAAGATCAGTGTTTTACCTTCAGTTTTAGACCAACGATAACTTTTGACCTGTGGGCAATAGTTTTTCTTAAATACTTTAGAGAGCAGAGAGAGGCAAATTTGTACGTACTGATTCTAGTAAGAAGTAACGAACAAATAATTAAAGCAACCTCCAAGGATCATAATTTCTTTTACTCTTCAGAAGAGGATTACCGTGCTCCAGGTGTGCCTGGCAAGTGGACGGTATCTCAGCCTGCAGTGCTGCGCTTGCGCTTTATCGTGCCAAAAAAAGGTGCAATTGGTCGCAGAAGAATTTTCAAATTCCACTAAAAAGTTGGGAGGATGTGGTTTCACTAGCAGCAAACAAAAAAAAAAAAAAAAGAAGCAAACGGCCCTCAGATATGCGGCACAGCTTGAAAATGGGGAGGGGAGAGGGGTTACATGGAAAACAGAGTTACTGGTTTAGACTGGATGGATGCTTTTTCTGAGAGGTTTAAATAAGAAAGTGCTCAAAATGTTTTCACGTCTTTCTGAGAGGCTGGGACTAGCTGAAAGGCAGTAAGTAACGCATTTACCTATGTCTATTAACATGAACACGAGCGGCTGTGAAAAAGCACTTCCGAGCTCATTGGAGGCAGCAACCACAACGGTGTAAGTAGAGTCAAAATTCAACTTGCTCAGAGCCAGCGAGCCAAACTTCTTATTCAGGCTCTCTTCTGAAAGGCAGAAGACATCCGTCCCGTTCGATAGCCTGGAACAGAAGAAAAACGCTTGGTTAATGCTCTCCTGTACCCCAAAAGCTGCCGCCCTGGGTCCCTGGGGGCTCTCCCAGCAGCTCCCCCCCCAGTTTTTGCTGGCAGCCGGGCAGGGCGTCCGCTCCGCGAGAGCGCCGCGTTATCCGCTGAAATACAGCGGTTACAGTAAATCGGTAGTGAAGGTGTTACGCTGCTTCTGGTTATTAATTGCAGGCAAAGGAAATACTTTCGGATTTCCACTGAGCTGCACGTAGGTGAGCCGGTTCCTTTTAATACCGTAATGGTTACCTAATATCGGTTGCCTAATGCTTCTCTATGAATGAGCATAGGTGCTGACACACAGAATTTGGGGGAATGGTGGATTTGGGGATTTTTTTTTTTTTTTTTGGTCGTTTCTTACAAAAGTTAGTGATTAAAACCATAAATTATCTGCAGTCTAACGGTTAGACCGCATGACTTCAAACACAACTTTTAATTCTCAACCCGTCTTTCAACCCGCTGCCTTGAGTAACTCAACTTCTCTGTGTATTTTCTTCCACCTGGATCAGAGACAATTGTATCCTGCTGCTTCAGGCTGACCTTCTGTATGTTGTAGGATACGCAATAACTTCCTAGCGAGCACTGCCGTATCTCCCTGTTACGACACTTGCAGGACTCGTTATCTGCACTTCCCTACCCTTCTGCAAATTACCTGTGTGTTCTCCTTCCGCTTAATGAGCGAGGACAGGTTTCTGCAAGCTACTAAGAAAATTGCTGCACCCTTGGCCAACAGAAGGAGGTGAGGAAGAAGAAGGAGGAGGTGAGGAAGAAGAAGGAGGAGGTGAGGAAGAAGAAGGAGGAGGTGAAGAAGAAGAAGGAGGAGGTGGAGGAGGTGAAGAAGAGTGAGCCTCTCGGGGCAAGGAGATGGTCAACGTGCAGCATCTCAGAAACAAATGGGGACCGGTTCAGCCTACCCAGAGGTTTGCAAAGGGCAAAATTAATTCGTTCTACCCAGATGTTTGCTTGAATAGAAGTTTTTAATAAGGTTCCTCCTATGCACAGTAGCCTTGGGCTGACTTATTCATAAACCAACTCTTTTGTGTGCTTTGATAAGGGTAAATCTGCAATAAATGGTGTAAAAAATAAATAAAAACACCCCCTCCAATAGGTGCTAACAAACCTACGTCCCTGCGTTACTTACTGTATGACGTAGGTAGTGTTGATGTAGGTGAGCCTGCCTTTCTCCCAGGTGCAGGTGGGATGGCCGTCTGTCCCGTGCTGGATACACGACACGTTTCTCGGCTCATCTGGAGGACCTTAAACGGATATTCTTATCAGTTTCTTCCTTAAAGATGTTAATAGGAGACATTTTAAGAAATGCTAGGTTTGGCTTTTTGATTGTTTGGGGTTGGTTTTTTTTTTTTAAAGAATGTATAGAAAAAATATTCGGGCTAATAATTTTTATACATGAAAACAGCTGAGTCTGTGATCTCGGCAGCCCGTCGAGACCTCTGACACTTGAGCGAAACTCCAGTGACTTTACAAGGGTGCCAGGTGACTACGAGTGCTTAACAGCTCTCCACGCAGGGCACCACATGCTTTACTTCAAGCAATCAACCATTATTCTTATTAAAGAAAAAAAAAAAAAAAAAACAAAACACAACTTTTTATAAAAAAAAAAAAAAAAAAAAAAAAAAAGCAGCACTGATACAGCAGCCAACCACCGCAGCAGCAGCAGCTCATCAGGCTGGAAGAAAAATCTAAAATTTCCTTAGAACTCTTCTTGCAAGTCCCCTGTGTCCTGGAGAGACTGGTGGGTGTCAGGGGTAGAGCAGGAGGGAGTACAAGGCTTGCAGGTAGTTTTATTTAGCATCTCTCTGTTGATCAATAACGGGGTTGCACAGTCCCATCCAGGAATATTTTAAATACAAAGAGCTGCCGAAAGGCCACCCGCTGCCAGTTTCTAACATGTGTCTCAGAGGTACCGCAGGAAACGTTTAAGGACAAGGAATAATTAAATTCTCCTTACTTCCAGATTCTATATCGATTCCACAAATGAGTTTTTTCTTGTATTCACAAACTATTTTGCACGTAAACATGTGTTTGCCGTGTGTATGGACTAGAAACTTGGTGCTTACTGAACTGCCGTAATTGCTAATTAGTTCAGAGCTGTTAAAGAAAATAGCTATCCTGCACTGCTCAGCGTATCGCAGGGCTTTCAGCTGGCAGGAGAGGGTGACGCTGGTTCCAGGCTGGACGTGAGGAGCCGTGTCAGCGGTCATGTTCCCTTTGTCGCATATTTCTGCGGCGCCACGGGGCAGTTTGCGAGCAGGCGCGTTCCCTTTGCTGCAGGCTTCTGCAACGGAAGGGGAAAACAAACCTTTAACGCGGATCCATCGCTTAGCTTGTACGACGTACCGCGCTCGAGGAAGAATTTATAATGCAAGAATTGCTGCCTCTGCGCGGCTACTCGTGGGATATTGTTGTGCTTCACCGAGCTGATAACTGGGGTCAGAAACCAAGGGCTGGCCACCGGTCATCATGCAAAAAAGCACAATCCCAGGCAAAAATCTCTCTATCGGAACTCTTTTTTCAGCGTGGTTTAGGGAAATACCTGCGTTTGGGTAAGGCGGCGGCAGGCACGTCTCTACCGAAGAGACAAACAAAATTTTCTCTGACTTGCAGAGACCTCCCCTCGTGCGTTAACGTCTTTTCAAAGCGGCACAGGACGCAGACGGGGACAGGCAATCCTGCGCTCAGCGTACACGACCACGCGCTTGCTGGCAGGCTCCAGCCCGGACAACCCAGCCGAGCAGCGGCGGAGGACGAGGGAAAACGCTGGAGCATCGCTTCTCCTCGCGTGCGAGTTCTGACGGTCTCTGCGGAAGCTAACTGCAGGGATGCTTTCTCCCGTAACCAACAGCTCTACCTTGAACCAAACCAAAGAACCTCCCCGTGTAACTTATTAGCAAC